TCCATTTCCCTCTTCCCTGTCTCTCCGTAAGCTAACGTAACCTTTTATAACAAAATCCAGTGTGGGTTTCAGCCATGTTTCCTGAACACAAATAATATCTGGTTTCTCTTTAAGCTCTTTAACAAATCCTTTGAATTCCTGTCCATTTGCTATAAGACTTCTTGCATTCCATTGTAAAATAATCAGTTTGTCCTATCATTTGGTTCACCTGACTTCCCATCTGCCTCCAGTTTTTTAGTAACTTTTTCCCATGAAAGATCTTTCATTCCCAAGAATTTCTCTGCTCCTCTTACAATTATTTTTATTTTTTCTGTTTTTTGTTTGACCTGATCAGTGCAATTGATCACATAAGTGATGAACAAAATCAGATTGTCCACTATCAGTCTTGAATCACTGCCTTCTTTTTGACTCATCTCAGATGCTGGTTTATGGGGAGTTCTCAAATCTCCATTCTTTCTTTGCACCGTCTTTACTGCCTCTGCATAGCTTACATTAGTAACTGTTTTAATTTGTTGGATTTCCACCGCCCTTTTCCTGACTTATTCCCTAGATGTCACTCTGTGTTGACCACCACAATTGCAACACTTTTCCTGCACATCATCTTCACATTCTTCAAACTTACGGTCACCACCACATTTGGGACACCTCTGTTTTCCTTTACAAACTGCAGCAATGTGCCCGTATCTTGACATTTGAAGCAACGCAGTGGTGGGGGAATATAGGCCCTAACTGGGAAACTCAAATAACCAATCTTGACCTTATCCGGTAGTTCCAATCCCTTAAACTCTAGAAGCACTGACATGCTTTCTATTCTTTGACCATTTTTATTTCTCATCAGTCGTTTTATTGTATTTATTTCCCCTCCATGAATGCTTCGTTTTAGCTTTTCCAAATCTTCATCTCCAGGAATCCCAGTTATCACCCCTCGTGTGATCCTATTTTCTCCAAGAATCCTTTTTTCAAACACAACTTTTTTACACACATTGTTAATTCGCATAACTTTATTTTTTTGTTCTTCTGTTTTGCATATTATCAGTAAATTACCATCCCTCAAAGTCTTGGCCATTTCCACATCACCTATCTTTTTCTTCAGTTCTTTTGATATTGCTATCGGACTAATATAAATATGTTCATCTTCCTTTCTAAATTTTATTATCACTTTGATCTCCTCCTTCACAATCTTTCTGCGAGCACCCCTCTCTCCCTCATCTGAACTTATTTCTCCCCATTCCCCTTTACTGCTCTTGTTAGGTGGTGTTTTGTTTATCTTGTGCTGCTTTCTGTTAGATGCTGAAATCCATTTATCTGAATTCATATCCTCATCTACATCTTGTCCTAACATCCTGATCCAGTCACAAACCAGCTATTGCCAACCACCGACAAAAATAGAAAAGTTTTAAACGGACCGCCAGAACGCTTTCGTTGCTTCCGCCTCCTCCCAACCAGCCTCTCAACCCTCCACAAAATTAATCGAAAAGTTATTCGTGTGTTTAAGGCAAACAAAAATATTTTTTTGCCTTTACTAAAATGGGATGATCTATCCCGAGTTATTTAATCTGGTGATTGCGCTATAAACTGTCCCTTTATTTTGTAAAGTCACAGGTCTTTTTTTTTAAATGTAGCTACAAATTAAACTACTGCACCTTATTGTACATTATTCACTGTTCGTAACATCACACCCAGCAGCTGGTTAGGCACAGGAACACACTGTCTGTGAATATAAACAAGTCAGTGGACATGTAAATCATAAATCCTGCTCTACATATAAAGAGTAGTTTTCATTTTTGCCCTCATTGTTGCCACCTGCCTTCCAAATAATAGGTCTACTAATTTCTATATCATCATTGCACTGTATTGGAATTTACTTAATTCTCTACCCCTTTAACCAATTTTAATTTAGTTTTTTAATTCATATTCTTCTTTTTTTAATTCCTTGTCATGCTGCTCTGTAATCAGCACTTGGAGATAAATGAAGTTTTCTGAATCTGAGTCTTGTGAAAATGTCCTAAAATCTTCTCAAAAGGGATTTTATTAGGCTTATGTATTTCCAAACTGTTTAAAGAAGTTAAAATTCTCTAAAGGGTCATAAAGTCCTGATAGCAACATGCTTTAACATGTGTGCATATTTATGTCGCAGTTGGGTTAAATTTTATTTTTTTCCTTCATAGTAATGAAATACTAATAATCGAACCTCAGATCGAGGAGGAACAATGCTGTTTCCGTCCTGGCCATGGAACACTGGATCAGCTTTTTACCCTCACTAGAGTCCTCGAGGGGTCATGGGAGTTTGCCCATCCAGTCTTTTGTGGACTTGGAGAAGGCTTTCAACCGTGTTCCTCGAGGTACACTGTGGGGGGTGCTCCATGAGTATGGGATTCAGGGCCTATGGGCTGTTCTGTCCCTATACAAGCATTGCAAAAGTTTGGTTCACATTGCCGGTTATCGGACCCCTTCAGGGTGGAAGTTGGTCTCTGCCAGGGCTGCCCATTGACACAGATTCTGTTCATAACTTTTATGGACAGAATTTCTCGGTGCATCCAGGTGGTGGAGGGGGTGGCCTCAGGATTCCATCTCTGCTCTTTGCAGATGATGTGGTCCTGTTGGCGTCATCGAGCTGTGATCTTAGCGGTTCGCAGCTGAGTGTGAAGTGGCTGGGATGAGAATCAGCACCTCCAAATCTGAGGTCATGGTCCTCAACTGGAAAAGGGTAGACTGCTCTTCGGGCCGAGGGTGAGGTTCTGCCTCAAGTGGAGGAGTTCAAGTATCTCGGGGTTTTGTTCACGAGTGAGGGAAGAATGGAGCTTGAGATTGACAGATGGATTGGTGCAGCGTCTGCAATATTGCGGCCTCTGTGCCGGTCCGTTGTGGTGAAGAGGGAGCTGAGCTGTAAGACAAAGCTCTCCGTTTACCTGTCGGTGTACGTTCCTACCCTCACTTATGGTCACAAACTCTAGGTAGTGACCGAAAGAATGAGATCACCGATACAGGCGGTTGAAATGAGTTTCCTCTGCAGGGTAGCTGGATTCTCCCTTAGAGATAGGATGAGAAGTTCAGTTATCTGGAGAGACTCTGAGTAGAACCTCTGCTCCTCCACATCAAGAGGAGCCAGTTGAGGTGGTTCAGGCATCTGGTAAGGATGCCCACTGGGCACCTCCTGGTGTTTCGGGCATGTCTGACTGGAAGGAACCCACGAGGAAGACCCAGGACATGCTGGAGAGACTAGGTCTCTCGGTTGGCCTGGGAGTGCCTTGAAGTCCTCCCAGAAGAGGTGGCTGTGAAAAGAGATGTCTGGACCTCCGTGCTCAAGCTGCTGCCGCCGCAACCCGACTTCAGAATAAGAGGAAGATTATGGATGGATGGATAGTAATGAAATATTCATTTTACTAATTTTTTATGACAACAATTATGCAATGTGTTTCATTTTGCATTCATGCAGGAAAAAAGATCACAACATGAAAATACCACGTATGTAAATATTTATGCTGTTGCAAATGTCCAAAGTTTATGGCTCACATTCTATGGTAAACTTTAGATCAGAAAGATATCCTGAAGATGCAGTTTAATATCAGGTTGATTCTTGTGCACACAAACGATAAACTGAGAACAACCAGGAATCATCAAAAGCAAACATCTTTTGAAACATTTATTTCAGAATATAATACATAACAATAATCTTTTACTTTTTGCAGCTACAATCCATCTTCTCAAGATTGACTCTTAGCTAACACAAAGAGAGGGCACAAGACTGTCTTTGTTTTAAATTTGACTTTTTAAGAAAGCAAACATAAACCTGTAAGGTTACACAGTAACGTTAGAATTGTTGCTCTGTAAAATCAAATAACTTTGTGTAAAATAAAAAGATGCTTTCAGGTTAGCCTAAATTATATTTGTTGGGAAAGTAGGCAGCAGCTTCTAATCCAAGTGTAGACACAATAATAAAGTGCAAAATTTCTAATACTGCAAGGCACAAACTATCAACGCTAGGGTTGTCTTCAGATCGAAATACAAAGAAAAAAAAAGCAAAACATTAGAAGTCACATACGTACAAAATGATTTTGTTCAATAACAACAAGTAAAACCTTGTCTAAATCTTCAATAAATTTTAAAATATGTTCTGTTGTACATATGTATAAGAAATTACAGTAAAAAAAAAAAAAGTACAATAAATTCTATTACAAATACATTTTTACGGTGTGTTTTGTTAAAATATCTTTAGAGGCTCAGATATATTTAACAATAAACAAGGGAAATGACCAGTAACAAGTACTGCACCTCAACTTAAATCACAATAGAAATGTATGGAACAACTATTAATTTTGTTGTTGTTAGAAAAAAAAAAAGCATTTGGCTCAGCCAAAATGCGATCAAACCTACAAATGTTTTATCTTTAAGTAAAATAGAGGTATAACATGGCAAAGAAACAAATTGAACAGAAACAGATTTATGACAATGCTACCCATGCTTTTATTAATACAGCTATGTTCTCAAGAATAAAAAAAAAAAACTTGTGTTTTTTTTAAATACACAACAGACTGGATTCAGTAATATAGAAAACAGCATCAGCAATTGTTTATGTGGCAGATGGTTTGGTGTCTCAAGCATGACAGACTATAATAAACTCTTGCAAAACTGCCCACATCTCAACTCCTATAAAAATACAATGAACAGTTGATTTCACTGTCTAAAAAAATAGCTTCACAATAACAAAAACAATACACCGTAACTGTGTAATTAAACTAATAAATAGAATATGTCTCTTTGCTGATGATTAGTTGATCTTCTGTACTTCTATGTTTTGTTTGTAGCACAAAATCACTCATTTCAGCTACTTTCAAACACGACACTCAGGCTTGAATCCTTGAACTTTTTTTCTGTAACATAAGTTATGGCCATTTTTAGGCTCTATTTTTATGACAGTCCAGATCCAAACAAATGCAGGTTCTTAAGTCTCTCATTTTCCCCACTCTTCATGAATGCAACATGATTTGATGGTTGAGGTGCTACCACTGAGGGGGCTCCTGGCTATCTTTCCTTTCTGTGCCCATTTCCTTTTGAGGTTTGATGATGATGTGAATGGGCCTCTCTCCACTGCCTTCTTGCTGTTGTGTATTTATTACTTCACCCTCGCACACCTCCTCCTCTGCTGAGGCTCCAATTGGCCGCAGACGCTCGACAGAAACCATGTTTGATCCAGTTGATGAACCGTCTCTCTTTAGTTTGTCTTTACTGCTGTTTTCTGAGCTGGTCTTCTCTGCTGCATGATAGACAGCAAATGAAATTTAATACAATTTATTTTTTGTTAAAAAATGGTGTATACATAGATGTACCGTATTTTCCAGCCTATACGTTGCAATTTTTTGCATAATTTGCATGCCCTGCGACTTATACACCGAAGCGACTTATTTATATTTTTCCCCCTATTTATAAACCAATTTTTGGACCGTTTTCATTCATTCTGACATTGAAAATATTGAACACTACCATTTTCAGCCGCTAGATGGCACTAAAGAAGGAGCATGCCGTTGTGTCTTGTCTGGTAAAAGTGGCTATTAATGACACAATTGGCTTGCCATCTTCGTCCAGCTCACCTGGAGCAACCGTCAAATCAGCTTAATTTTGCTGCACCTCCCCAGCGAAATGCAAGTGCATTTATTAAGTAAAAGTTCAACTGAGACACAGCTTTGCTATAATGTCGAGCAAACAAATGATTGTTTTAGGTGCTTATCTTGTTAAGTTTTGAAGAAATGCGCAGTGTTCCTCCTTCCTGATTTCCTCCCTCTGCGTGCTCCCGGAGCACCAATGCAGAAAACACTTATGAAATTCAGCTGATTTTTCCATTAAAGTGCATTTATTAAGGAAATGTTAAACTGAGACACACCTTTACTACAATTTTGAGCAAACAAATAATTGTTTTTAGGTGGTTATCTTTGTTAAATTTCAAAGAAATGCACAGCGAGTCGTCCCTCTGCGCGTCCCCACAGCTGCAAATCAGCTTTTGGAATGCAGCTGATTTGACCAATATAGTGCATTTATTAAGGAAAAGTTAGACTGAGACACACCTTTGCTATAATTTCAAGCAAACGAACAATTGTTTTTAAGTGTTAATTTTGTTAAATTCTTGTTAAAGTCCTCCGGTGCATGCTCCCGCATCTGCCATTGGCAGCCAATAAATTTTTGGCACAACACTGGCCCACATTTCCGGGGTGTCAGCGGTGACGCATAACAAACGCAAAGCGTCAGTGGTGACGCATAATAGATGCGACTTATATGGTGAAGTGACATATTTATGTATTTTTCCACTTTTTTAGACATATTTGGACTAATGCAACTTATACGGTGGTGCAACGTATATGGCGGAAAATACGGTAGTGGTTTTACTGTTTAAACATGCAAGCTTGATGCACCCTTACCAGGCTTACTGTTAGCTTGTTTGTCTGTGTTGGTGGAACTGTCTGTGGTCTTCTTGACTGTAGGCTTGGTTCTGGATCGGACTTTGTTGAAATTTCCATCCTGAATCCACTGGTGCTGTAACCCCTCATCAGGTGTCATACGTTTAGTTGGATCCCAACTGAAAAATATGGTACATAAAAAAATTGGTTCAAAATAATACGTTCAATTTTAAGTCAAACAAAGACAGAGGATAACTGTTTCTGTTTTACAACCAGCACAAAGACGGTCTGTGAAGCCAAGTGTAAAAATAGTTTGGCAGTACTTTCGACTGAACATACTCAAGGCAGCGTTGGATAAAATCTAAAAACAAAGGATCGTTGGTTTTCAGTGCAGTCGACAGCTCTATGGAGTTGGGTTTCCTCTTCTTCCCTTTACTGTTCGTGGTGTTTCTTGGGTTTCCTTTAGAGTCTGTGCGAAAAAAACATGTATGTATCAATAAATTGGGCATATTTTGTACAAATAATGATCACAAACCCTGTTGAAAATATTGTTTAACAAGTATCCTGATGCATGCTCAGTAATCCAGTGCAGTTTAACAAGCAACGTTGCTTACTGTATGACATGTATTTGTAGAATATCCACACAAAAATACAACTGCAATTAAAGCTTTGAATCAAGATGAAGTCTAACTCTCACCGAAGAATAACTTCCTCCTTGATGCTGATTGAACAAAATCATTTGGAGGCATTCCAAGAACCTGTTGGATGAAAAATATCAGAACTCTTTAAAACACAGAAGCAGAAACCAATTATTTTTGATGATCTTTGGGCTAAATAATCATCTAGTTTCCCATTCCACACCTCCATTATGCAAGCTATCTGCTCCACTTCACTCTCTCCTGGAAAGAGAGGATAGCCCGTGTAGAGCTCAGCGAGGATGCAGCCCAGACTCCACATGTCAATGGCCATGCTGTAAGGGTGGCCCAGTATAACCTCTGGAGAGCGATAGAAACGACTCTGGATGTAGGTGTACACTAAACGAAGGGAAAGTAAAGGGAAAAATAGACAAGATGCATGTATTCAGATATTTATGCTCATATAAATAGCATTGTCAACCTCATTGGATATTTTGATATAGTAAAACAGTTCTATATGTAATCATACCTCTTTGTTGTTCATAGCAACTTGATCCAAAATCAACCACCTTGATGTTTCCTGGCCCTCGTTGAGAGAGAAGAATGTTCTCCTGAAATACAATCAAACATAAAAAAAAAAAAAAACTTCAGTCATTGTGGTGCAGTTTCAGTATTTGTCCAAAAGATGGCGTTCAAGATCAACATTTCAAGCAAGATACAGTGAATCAATACAAAGGTATGGGCAATTTATTCTCTAAAAGCAGGCTTTTTCTATTGGCAGTGATGAAGATGATGGTTCATACCGGCTTCAGGTCACAGTGGATGATCTTCTCCCCGTGCAGCATCTGTAGGCACCTGAGAAGTGCGTGGGCAAACCGGCGAATCAGAGCGAGACTGAAGCCCTGAAAGTTGTTCTTTTTGATGAGCTCGTACAAGTTAACCCTGTAAGAATGGACAAGACAAGGAAGGATTAATTCAATACTCCAATAGATTTGTCTTTTTTTCTGTCATTTTCAGATGAACAAGGGAAAAGTAAGCATACACTGAACACCCTCAATGAAACATTGACTTACTGTCAAGCACATACTAGAAAACAACACAATTTTGCTGCATTCATAGACAGACACATACAGCGTGTATCCTCCTGATATATCCTGGTTCTTGTGATACGCATAAACTTCTTTAGAGGATGTAATTGGATATTTCACACCATGAAGCAAGATGGGGTAAGAGATAGGGCCCTGGTCTAGGCCTTAACTAAAGGATACAGTGACAGTAACATAAGACAAGGTGTGAGTCCAAGTTGTCCCCTAAAGGTCATTCAGCCAGACTGACACATAAAATGATGCCCCTCTCAAATATAAATGAGTGGCAATTATTCTTAAACAGTGACGGCTTCAGATTCTAACACAATCACTTGACATTTGCGTAAGCATAAAGTATTAGCAGCAGCAGAGACAGGTGAGAAGCAGCGTTCTGTTTTACCAGGTAAATGTGATGCACCTTCAATTAGAAGATTAATTATTCAGCAAAGTGTTTACGCTCTTTTGCACAGGCCTGCTTGTTCGCGTGCTAAATGTTTGTGCACATACTAACCCCAAGAGCTCAAAGGAGATGCAAAGGTGGTTTCGGAAGTAAAAGTACTCCTTCATGTGAATGACGTTGTGCAGATTGTCTTTGTCTTTCTTCTTGATCACTTCCAGGATCTTCAGCTCAACTAAAGCCTGGTGATGAAACCTGCAGACACGTTTGTGAGCGTTAGGTTTCGGAAATTCAAAAAGGTTTATTTTTGAATGTCCAGATCTAAGTAAGCTAGAATTAAAACCCCACAAGCTTAAACTTTAACAAGTTTGTGCAGGGAAAAAAAATCCCTGTCTAACAGAAACATGAGTTCATTTGGAACTGCATTGTGGTACTTAGCGCCTTTTTGTTTTCTGCATTATTGAAGGAGCGGCAAGACCCAAAGAGTCCTGGATCTAACTAACAGGACTCAGACGTTTGTAGCCGATGTGATCCTTAGTCAGGAAGGACAGGTAAAATAACACCACGAGGCACCAACTTCCACAAGGCTAAATCTGGTCCCAACGAATTGGCGCACTCGTAAAATGTAAAATGAGCACTGTGCCGGCATGTGGGAAAATCTTACAACACTCCATCAGATCCCAAATAAATATCCAAAGATTACTCCCTGCAAGTCACACATTATCCAATCTTTAGCAGCGGTATGATTTAAAAGCAAAAAGCAACACAGACTTGATCTTTGAAAATTTCTAAGTGAATTGTTTGAGGATGATGTCCTGAAAATGTAAAGAAAGAACATAAAGTGAAATAGAAATGAACTTGTACCTTTTCTTATTGCGTATCATCTTAATGGCCACAAGTTCATTGCTCTTGTGGTCCAGGCATTTTAGGACCTGCCCAAAGGAGCCTTTCCCAATCACTTCAAGAACTTCAAACCTGTATGCAATGTGGTCATGCAACACCTGGAAGACAACAGGAAGAATGATAAATAGCAAGCAGCATAGTGTGTGCTTTACAGAAATAATAATTATCATCCATTGGTTGTTGATGTTTGATTTGTCCTGCTTAAATGTTTTACTGGGCTGAGATGACTAACAGCATTCATGAGGGGGTTTCCAGAATGTCCCTGCAACATTAGAGGGGGGACTCAATTGACTTTCCTGAGTAGCAGAAGCTCACAGTCCTGCCTGTTTATTTTTAAACGGGTAAAAAAATAAATGAATAAAAATAAAAATGGTCCCACTAATTTTCTTTCAAAAATACTCACAGAGTTGTTGCAAGCATCTTGAGCTGTTCTCAATTTTTTTTTGCAAGTGTTTCCTACCACTTTCAAGAGTGCAAAAGTTGCATTTTGACCTCTGCATGGGAGCTCTCTTTAGACAGAAAAGACCAATTTCAACAACAAATGCAAGTCATTTTAAAATCTATATTCCAAAAGAGTATCTTCGGTCGATTCAATCACAACCATGGAGTCAGTTGCCAAGGTGGGCGCAAAGCTAGGTGAGGTGGGTATAATGTAAGCAAGTTGAACAATGAAATTTTGTGCATGGTCAAAAATAGAATGCTGGAAGCTGTGCGCACAAAAATCTGCCATCATTTTCAAAAATTGTCTAAAACATGCTTGCACGGCTCACTTGGTCACAAATATTCAAAATTCCAAGAAAACTAAAACAAACAAACAAGAAAAAAGAGAGACTTTTTTTTTGTAATACTGAGTCGTTTGAGTCACCAACTAGTTTTCAACAGTTGAGGCCCACTGAGATCCTCACTTTAGTGTCCCAAGGAAACAAGAAATGCCACTAAAAGCAAGTTTAGTAGGCGTTTAATGTAACACGATACTATCATATTCACAAAGTGATCATAGCACTATATTCAGTCTACTGCACGTGCCAGTCACACCTGTGATGGTGACAATACAATGGAGCAAAAGACACACGAGAGACCAAGTTATTCAGCCTTAAAGAGCTCATTCATTACCTCTGCCCCACTGGCACAAAACTGCCAATCAGATGTTGAGTTCATAGACACTTTAGCCTACTGCAGGGTTTGTGACCTCACTTGGGATTATGCTGTATTGTTAATTCAACAATAAAGTCGGCCATGCTCAACACTGGGCACAGTTTATTACATGGGATCTTGTAAGAAGGTGCAAAGTATATGAATAATACTACCCACTGTGTATAGACACCTTTTTATGTGCCATGTACACCTTTGAGCATGTGGCTTTACTTAAAACAAAGGCTTTCAAAGGAAACAGGATAACAGTTTAGAAATCATTTAAATATAGTCATCACGGATCATATTTGAAACATTCAGATAATGTCAATTTGAATGAAAGATTTTAATCCATCTTAAACATCAACACTCAAATGCAAGAGTTTTAGGTTGTCTTGCATACAGTTGCTCCGCGGGGGAACCTGGTGTTCTCTGTCTGCCGGACCCAGTTCTGGAGGGCAGTTTGGGAGGCAGCTGCTGCGATCCTTATTATCATTAAGCTGCAGACGGGACCTGTTAACAAGATGTAGTGGACTAGGCCTATGTCAAAACTGAGTCTTAGGTCAAAACTCTTGACCTTTAGGACCTTGTGGGACAGGAACTGTCATTTCATTCATTTGAACTCAGAAATACAGGTTCACCCATCCTGAGACTTTGCTAAAGATGCTAACAAGTCCACGTCGCTAACTGAACCACACCACAAACAGTACCATGGTGATACGCTGGTGAAGATTCTCAGTTATCCAGGACGTGGTAAATTCAGAAAGGTTCATGACAAAAACAACTGGACTTTATTTGTAACAGAAGATGTTTCGCTTCTCATCTGAGGAGCTTTCTCAATTTAAAGAAGAGGAAGTGTGGGGTTTGAGTTATAAAACTGAGGTAAGATACTTACATATGCAGATTGACCTATCACACCTCACAGTAAGGGTTTGTTAAGGTCTTTGTTACAAATAAAGTCCAGTTGTTTTAGTCTTGAACATTTTTTGAAAGTACCATGCCAACGGGAGCATGCTGCTAACAGTACCATGCTGCTAACTGGACCATGTTGCTAAGATAACCGCACTGTCATCAGAACCACTCTGCCAATAGAACCATGCTGCTGTAGATTTAGTTCTTTTTCACTTTTGGTGCCTTGATTCTGTATTTCTGTTGCATTCTTTGAATAAATCTCAGTTTATGTTACAAAGTAGTTTTGGTGTTGGCTCTGAGCCAGACTCCGCTCGCATTAAACATGTAAATTGTGGCCGAACAGAATCTATGAGAATCGTACTGCTTTTGTTCAGCGTATTGTTTTGCACTATTAGTGACTAGAGTATATCTTAAATCTTTTAGCATACTATTGGGCTTTCGTTTAGCGTATATCTTAGTTGATATCTTAGATCCTTATTTACTGTTTCTTTTACACTTTATATTTTTGCTATTGTTGGATGTAACTGGGACTCTGTGTACACATTTTGTTCCACCTCATGTACCACATGCGATGTGAATGACATAAAGAAACTTGAATCCTTGAGTCCTTGAATACAGACACTCGGTCATTCAAAACTTTACTTCTAGTTTCTCCTATACATGTCGGTGAACCTCTCTTCTGTTTCGAGAACAGGTGCTGCAGACGGAACTTGGCCTTCAAACAATTTTGGAAACTTTTGGACTGAAAAAGCAAATGGTTTTTGTGTAAGATTCTAACCTATATGTTCATTTAATAACATTTAGGTTTAAAAAAAAAAGTATAAGGGGTTTAGTTTCAGAAAACTTGTGAGAGCTCTGTAAGCCAGTTAGAACATTTTACAGTAAAACAGGTAATTTATTATGGAATAAAGACCATCAGTAAAACCCTTAGAGCATCATCAAAAACCTCACCCTGACATAGCTGCCGTGCTCGTCATCATATCCGTTGTTCTGTGCTGATCCTTGAGAACCCTCGATTTTCTGGGAGCTCAGACCCAAGAACCAGACCTGTGCGTAGTCGTTGATTTCTTCTTGCTCAAACTCAGTCATGCGCTCTTTAAAGTTGTTTAATGCCTCTGCAACAGGAAGTTAGAGGAGGACAAGATGAGTCACTGTTGTGCTGATGAAGCAGCAGCCAAATGCAGAGGAGTGGTTGTTTTCTAATACCAGCATGTCATGTTGAGTTGGTTAGGACAAAACGTTACATGTGAACACCTACAATAAGCTGAAATTGTGAAATTACATTACAAATCTGCTGAGATTCTGTTCCATTGTGTCCTGTGATCCACACCAACATACCTGTAGGTGACATGGGTAACCTTTGACCTTCATATGCCTTCTCCTTCTCCTGCTTGTTGCTGAAATTATTGCTGTTACGAGAAACCGGCACTTTATCCATCGCTGTGCCAAACCTCATGTTGAACTGATGTGTTTGCTTTGACCTCTCAACCTGATTAAAAACAATAAAAAAAAATCAGAGTATAACCAAAAAAAATTTAAAAATTTGAAGTGATATTTATAGTTTTTATGTTTCGCAGTGCTCCATTGCAAAGCTCATCAACAATTAGCTGCTAGAGCTACAAAATGTGAGTATCTAATGAACGAGGGTCTCACCGTGTTTGTCTGATAGCTGTGTTGACCCCCCTTGTTGGCAATTTGGGGCAGGATGTTGTCTGACTGCTGGTGCTGGTTTTTGGCGTTGCTGACCACCACTTGGACCACCGGTGGCTCGAGCTGAGGCAGGGTCCCCACACCAGAGACAAACTTCTGAGAATCAGAGGATTTGTTTAAACTGTGTTGCTTTTCAATGAAAAAGAAGTAACACAGATAAAATTATTAAATGAAATCCAAAAAAGATTACATTTGTTTGTTCAGTCAATGACTCCACAAGAAACCAAGACATTTTCACTATTTCATGGTGAATTTGTACTATACACATTCCTTCTAGTCCTTTAAAGCAATTTTTTTCTCAAGTACATGTGTGGATCAGTGTTTCTCTTCAGTCCTGGTTGGTGCTCTAAAAGAGCTCCCCGCCTGCATGCGGGCTCAGGTGACCAGGACCCTCCAGCAGGTAAGCGACTGGAATTACTGATCAGGGTGAAAGTGAAACGGGGACAAAGCCTCATCAGGCTGAGCCTTGACAGGGTCTGTCTGTGGTGGCTTTGTGCGGGAGGAGAACCTGCTTTTCTCTGATTGACACTGCAGTTGCTCTCAGAGCACGATTACATGTGTTGCAGCTTCGCACAGCTCAGCCTTGTGAGTGAGGAACAAATTTAGACCTCTGTCTTTTGCCAGACTCTCCAGATTAAAATAATCCTTATTTCTTTATCTGTTACACTTGTATTATCTGTTTTATGTGCAGTTTGATACCCTTGAAGCTATCCAGCACTAACATTTTCAATATAAATTATTAACAAAACTCGACGTATATGCTGCGGGTATTTTTTTTACGAGCTGGGAGCTGCAGCAGGATTTGTTAACTTGCTCAGGACGCATAGAGACGGAGCTAAATATAGTGACGAGAAGCTGCCACAACAGGCAAAGAAAGGAAACAGTACCTGTGCACAAGTAGACATATTGTTTAAATACAAACTAGTGTTACATAAAATACAATGCCATAGCTTTGCCCCTCATGTTTGCACACAGATGAGCAGTTACATCGTTTTTATGCAAGATAAAAACAAAAGAAGATCATTATTTGGGATATTTTTCTTATATTCTGGTGAAATTACATTACATGTATAGAAAAACAGAAGAGAGCAAGCCTTTTTAGCGTTTGCATTCCTTTATTTTATGCATTTCCCTGCATTTGTACAGCACTTTGAACTGTCCAATGTGTGACGGTGTAGAAATAAACTTGCTGTGGTGACTGAATGAGGAATTTTTGATGCACACCTCATGCAGTTTAAATGCAGAAGAGGAGAGCTGGTATTGTTGGTACAACATGTTCTGAGTATGCGCCAGCTATAGCAGCATCATGCAGGGAAGGGGGGGAGGCACTGACCTGAGAACAGGGCCGATTTGTTCCAATACGGCTGCCTTCTGCTGGGAGTCTGTGAGGGTGAGGGAAGGCCTCTGGCCGTGTTGCCTGCAGGAGACATAAAAGTGATTCATAAAAAAGCCACAACAACAAAAAAATATGGCTGCCTTTTATAACTGTACAACAGGTAAATATAATTCTCTTCTACAGAGATATTTATGTAGAATGATGCATCATAACACAATTTTTAAAACTCAGATTCCTTTACACTGAAAGAAAAGCAACTGAAGCGGTTACATTATAATGAAAATGCTTGTTTCTGCGTCGGCTGGATTCTCCAGTCTCTCCAGCAACACATCGCCTCTGGGCATCGGAGCTGGGTTAAAACCAGACTAGCAAAAATAATGCACTCCTAAAATAGATCACTTCAGCAAAAACCTAGCAACAACGATCCGCTCACTTTCCAGTATACGCTCTGTCTTAGTTACAGCTGCAGTACGTGCACATGTGCTCGCCCATGTGCACAACGGAGAGCAATGTGACAATAATGTGTTAGAGGAAAGCAGTAAATCTGAAGTTGAGCTTAGGTGCAGCTTACATGGGCGTGGAACTGTGATGGGTGAAACAAAGCTTGTGCAAGTATTTGTGCAGAACTCCATCTAATCTGATCGGGAGGAGTTGTTCAGGATAAGTGATGTGATGTGTGCATGAGATCTTCCCAATCATAATCCAAACACTAGACTGAGAGGCCAAAGAATGAAACATCAGAATCAATCCTCGGATGATTTTTACCATAAAATAAACTTTCTAAAGCTGCTTTCTAATCCTGTGACATTTGATGCAACACTCCTTTATAAAGTCATTCTAATTGTTCAGTGAGTAAATGAAACTACCGGACAAGGGGTACAATGTGTTGTCATGTTACAATCTTCGGGGCGCAGTGAGTGACAGCAGGAGCCATGTAGGTCACTGTAACAGGCTGGCTTCTAAAACTTATCTTCGGCTGTAAGCTTTTCTAATGATCAGTGACTTATTGACGCGTGACCAGGAAAAATAATGACTCCTGACCTCCTGCTCATCTGTTTCGCACGAGATCAGCACCGAAACTGTATAAAATAAACCATGTTTGCTGTTCAGATGAGCATCAGTTATCAGGACGAAGTGAGAAAATGTCTGCATAAAAACTAAAAAGAACAAATGCAAGATCAATAAATGAGTGAATTAGGTTGTTAAACTCGGTTTTGTTATGGAATTTTAAACAGGTTTCTCTTGTAAATGAGTCCTCGAGGCTCAATGAGACTAACCTGTATAATAAATAAAGGTTGAATGTAAAAAACCCCCCAAAAAACTTATTGGATATTATATATTAATAAAATACAGATTTAGTCGAAAATACCATTTTGTTCCTCTAGTGAAAGACAAAGTTAGATAAAGAATGCACAATCACGTAAAACAAAGATTGATCTGGAAAGGTGACTCCACACATGTGGCTGTAGGTCTGTGATCTCTGCAAATGTTCGGCCTCCAGAAGGGTCAGTTGGTCAGAAGGTCAAACCAAAGCAATTAAACCAGGAGCAAAGTAAGCATCAACAAACTGTAAAACACAATATAATATATCAGAGGGACTCTTGTCATAAATCACAGTATCCATTCAGTTTTAAATCACACATCATCAAATGGGAGCCAATGGAAAAAAATGATATTTGCAACAAATCCACAACTGTTATTTTAACATCAGATTTGGTCATTAAAGAATTATCTTTTAAGATCTAATAAATAAAAAAAGTCATGGTTAAATTTATCAGTTCCCATGTACGGTGTGAAAAATACACCAGAACACTTTTAGACTTAGGGAATCTGTCAGCACAACAAACACTGAAATAAGTGGACTAAAGTCTGACTGAAATAGAAATGGATCAGATTTTTTTTTTTATCACTACTTGGCATATGTTCAGAAGCAAAAAGGCAAAATATGATATATGCAAAATAACATGTGGATGAAAAACTTAAATGATTTAGAACGACTTAAAACCCAGTCAACAGACAAGTGGTCAGTTAATAAAACATAGTCACCTTGTTTTGGCAAAAATCCCTTGATTCATCAAAAATAAGAAAGAAAAACAAATATGATTTATATAAATAATGATGAATTAATGAATGATTGGAGGTAAGGAAAGAATGTAGTCGCATGCAATGATATTGCTTAGATTAGAAAATGATATTACAGCAAGTATCCACTTGTGTCCCATTAAATTGACTCTAAAGAGAATAAAACTGAAATAAAATATCATCTGTGACATTACAGTTAAATGCTGTTTCACCAAGCAGTCAATCAGCAGCAACAGTTCCTCACCTTGTTATTTATTTCTGGCAACATGCTCTCAGTTTTAGTTTTAGCGCTTCAAACACACTCTGGAGAAATTATAAAATCCAGCAGAGAGTCATTATATCCAACATCCCAGCAGTAAAACAAAAAGGCAGAGGGTTCACAGATCTGTCTTCGTGACTGAATCCACTCCAAGGAGTAAAATCCTGATGAGTGATGAGGTTTCCCAACCCAAACCTGCAGTACTCCTAGTTTTACGTGCCCTGGGTAATGCGCTGTCGTCAGAGAAGAGATTAGTGAGCGAACAAGCTGTTGAGGGTCTCTGCGCCCTGACGCCTTCTGCTGTGACACAGAACCACCTGTTCAGGTTCCTGCCACTGACAGCTGGGACAGTCCCAATATAGATTCACGTTTTTTTTCCTGCTGTGTCGTCCACCTACACCATGCTTATTGTGGCTGATGCTCTAACTGAACGCAGAGAGAGAAAGAGAGAGAGGGGCGCTTTCCACCGACGCACAGACGGACGCACGTCCTGGCTGAGCGCACTTGAAATAAAATGTTATGCATGCTGTTCAGTACGAAGTCCGTCTCCCTGTCGTCAAGGAAATTTTAAGATTTCCTGAGACATGCAGCATATTTTCAGTGAAGGGAATACATTCTTGAATTAGTTCCTTAAAATAGACAGCAAAAAATAGAACATTTTAAATTAGATGCATGAGAAAAATGAGAGAAATAGCATTTTCTGTGAAAATGCACAAGTGATGAATGGCTGCTGAAATTTGCTGCAGAAGCTGAAACTGAGTTGTTAAAGCTTCAAGAACCAGCTCAAGCTAAAACCCCAAAAAGGCAGAATGCAAACTAGACACTTAAAGTAACAAAAGGCTGGCTAAAAGTAGAAACATTGCAACTAAAAGTTTAATATGGCAAAAAAGCTAAAAGAAGCAAAATGCTTACTAAAAGTTAAATATAACAAAATGCTAGCTAAAAGTACTAAAATGCAGCGCCAGGGATTTTTTGGTCAAAGGATGTTTTTATGACTATGGCTGAGAGCATTCTTCCCCTCTGCCCAGGGAACAAAAAGCCCAAAACATAATCAAAACCATTTCCCAAGACACTATCTTATGTCTGCCCATGAACCACATGTTTGTGTAAACGGAGAGTGCTAGAAGGTTGCAGCTGGCTGCAAGAACACCTCCTGCACTCTGTGAACTCAGCCGAGATGAGAGGAGTATGAAAGCAAGCAGATAACACAGCATTTGGCTTTTTCTGACTGGTTTTCATGCATATACATCTATGTATGTTTATATATAGGCTTTATGTTATGTATGTAACTTGTCCCAAAATCAGACATTGCAAGTATAAAATACTGGTGGAAAATCTTCTCCTTACATTGAGTGTGGTTCTTTTGGGTAAACATTGTTAGTGAAAGATATTTTCTCCCAACAGAAGGGTTAGCTAATTGTTCAAAGTATCAAAAAGCTGGCTAGGAGTTAAAAGTAGCAAAAGGCTAGTTAAATATAGCAGAATGGTAGCTGCAAGCTAAACGTAGGTAAGAAGATATAAACTAGGGCAAATCAGAAGCAAGTTTCTAAGAGAATAATCTGTTTGAAGGAGATGACAAGACCTCAGTGTGTTTCTCTGGAGAAAAATATTTATAAATAAAGTCGAATATTTCAAAAAGTATGAAAGTTGCAAAAAGCAAGTCACTGCATTCCTCTCCTGAATGAGTGGAGCGTTCTGGTTTATGAACGGTTAAAATAGCACAAAGTACACAGAAGTAGTTAACGTAAAAAAACAGGAAAATTAAAACAAGAACACAATCGTGTTAGTGGTGATTCAGCATAAATAAAAGCATTTAAAGCTGCAGAAGTTGAATACTTTATCCTCTTAACTGGGCATATTCAATTTTTATTAGTTACTTTGATGGACCTAGAGGACGCTGCTCTAACACTGTTATGCAAGTAAATGAAGAGGCAATTAGTTTTCCAGTGACTAATCCCCACCACAGGAGAACAACAACTTACTGGCCTGGCTCCATGTGATGATTATCCCACAACAGGAGATAAATATGATAAGATGATGCAGTTATGTAACAGAAGAGGCCAGCTCACTAATCAGCTTCAGCTTTAGAGACAAGTAAATATGGAACTTCTTTTTCCTTTTTTATTGCACACCACTTAAATTTTACATTATTCCTTTGCAATTCAAAACAACTCACAAACTTAAAGTTCATGTATATAGATCAGGTATTTTAATACATGTAAGTGTAAAGCATGCAAAGCAGACATTGTTGCACTAGATAGATAGTAAGATTAAATCAGGGCACAGCGTTCTCTAAAAAGTGGAAGTGCTTCTTTAAATCTAGTCTGATCAAAGATGGAAATGTGGAACATTTTCATATTATAAAACCTTGATTATAGCTGTAGTTTGAACACTTGCTTCTCACAATGTCAAAGTTATTTTGCATCTGCATGGCAGCATTGAATATGTTGAAGTAAGATGAATATGTGAACAACACATTCTTAACTATTCTCAATAAATAAAAATAGCAAAGCATAAAAACATGAAACAAAACAAAAACATGTATAGCTGCACAGTTCACAAGGGACAGTCATTATTGCTTTGTACATTTATGGCCCAGGAGACAACCCTGGCAACCAAGGAGGTATAGAACAAAACATACATTATGGCTGACATAATATGAAAGGTGGTGACCCATGAGCAATTCTGCTAAACAGTGTCCAGTATTCAGAACAGGAAGTGAACAAAAGATAAATAAAATGCCATAAAAATGATAGCGAAATGGAAATATGAAAAAAAAACTACGATCAGGTCTGTGCTGCCTGTGAACGTACCTCAGGTTGCACCCTCCTGTTTCTGCCCCAGCAGCAGCCCTGAAGGAAGCTAATACCACAACAGCCAGGTGAGGTCCCGTCTTCCCACATTGCACATCTTTCCCATGCTGTCACGACCACACCCCAAAGACCATCTCAACCTCTGGGAACCATTTTCAGCCAGAGGGGAGAGAATTGTTCAGCAGATAAAACAGACACCCTCTGGTTTGGGTTGAAAAATGAAAGATGCCAGGTTTGCAAAAGTTTTGCTCCTCGATTCCACTTGATGTGGTTCAGTTCTTCCTCGTCACAAAACCTCGAGGCCATGAACTTCGCTCATCAGTCTGCTGAGTTTCAGATTCTGAAGACAGAACTTTCTGGGATTCCTCGCATCTCTCCTCTGTGCTCAGGACTGTCTGCATCATTTATTAATATAAGGTTACATCCCAGCGCCTCTGTTTATTCAGCTCTGTGCTCTTCCTGCAAATTTTTCTTCTCTGCTCCAGGATATATGGCACACCGCCGACAGACAGCGAGACGATGCTTTTGCTGTAATTGGTATAAGGCAGTGCTCTGCCAGTGACGTATGGATGAGACTCAACTAGGGACCCATCCTGAGCCGGAGACAAAGCAGCAGAAGCCTTACATTTAGTTTCCTGTAAAAACACCTCTAGGAGCACAGGATAGGAGGATGACTAAACAGACAATGAGAGAAAGGCACTGTATATACAGATGCTTCCAGGTGAGCTCTTTATGGGGCTGAGGAAGTCAGACAGGGCGGGGGGTTTCTGCACTAATAGGCCTCCCATGAGGTTCAACAAACACCTGCAATGTTCCACACTTGCCACTGTATCCTAGAGACAAAGCCACTGGGATGTAATATCCTCCACTTCCTTCTCCTTATCTGCTCTCACCATCCTTTTTGCCCTTCTCCTCATACTTTAGGGTTGCCACAGCTCCCCGTGGGATGATTCAGACTTGCTGACAAATAGCTCGCCCCATCCTAGCCCTGGCTTCCTGCCTGCTGCACACAGCAGCAGAAAACAGAAAGGCAGGAGCTGACGCTAAGGTTCATACCGCAGGGAGCAAAGTCTTTTGAATACTTCTCTGGTTTCTTCTTTGCACACTGACTAGAAGATGACTAAATACCTTTCATCTATTTAACCTCAGGTTATTAGGCAGATTACAGCACCTTATGTTGTTTTCATAGCAAATTTAACCTTAGCAATAAGCACAAGCACCTTTAGCCACACAGGTTCCACCCCTCTATACCAAAAATACAATCTGTAAATCACCATGTTTCAGTGACAGGAAAAATGTTGCTATTTCTGTAGCTTAAAGCACCAGGGTACTGTATTTCATTACTGCCCTGTCAGCCAGTTTGGACACTCTGTAAGCAGCAGAAGTACAGTAGCTATTCTGTATTCTTTGCCTAGAGTTTTTACCTTATAAAACAATTTACATGTCACATTCAAAGAATCATCTCACAGCAGTTGCCCTTTCAGTCTTTTCTCTAGGAGCCATCAGGCAGATGCGTTTGGACATGCTATACCAGCTCGGGTAAGCCTTCTGCTGGGCATGCGGCAGGTGTCACACGAGGCTAACGGAGGAAAGGTGAGCTGGCAGCCCAAACAGACAATGTCCGTGTCTCTTGTCTTTTGTCAGAGTGTAGGCAGCTTGACCTGGCTGGAAGCTGTGCTGCACCATCTGCAGTTTTAGAGGCACAGCAGGCTTCTTAGTTACAGCGTGTCACCACGAGATATAGGTCAAGCTCACAAATTGACACAAACACACACTCGTGCACATGCCAAGACAAACGGGTGATTATAGGCTCAATTGTGCCTTACACATTAGATGTTAATGGTGCTTGGTGTGAGATGAAGCCAGGATGACAAAGTGTTTGTGTTTTAATGACAGCCATCCTTGTATTTTTTTTAAATTAATTTAAAATGAATAAAAAAAATATTAAGCAGTCTTTATTAATGAAGTTGATTAAAACTAAGAAGTCCTTAGGCTTAATTCTTTCAGAAGAAACAGACCCAACTGGGTTTTCTGTACAGTTACTATTGAACCTCCCTAATGCAGTTATATACTGAAAGGACATCCATGAAGCTGGTAAAAAGTATTCAGATGGAGACAAGTTGAGAATGTCGGCCTTATTAGCTCCATTCTGTGTCAGAATAACTGGGTAATGATACACACATTCATGTTTGTGTGTGCTTGCAGTTTTGGATACAGCTTGAATAGGCAGCCATAAGGCCACGACTAATCTGATCAGCCACATCAGGTGCTCTCTGTCAGGAAGGAATCGATGAGAAACAATTTCTTAAATCATCATTTCACCAATGAATAAGGGAACTGACGGTGCCTTTCTTTGCATCAGTCATAATTATTGACTACTTCAAACATAACAGGTCTGACCTATAAAAGCTGACATTGTGAGTTTCAGGATGTTTGTATCAGGCCATTATGAGGATTTTCTCAGTTTGCCAAAAACACAGCTTGATTT